TTCCTGGGCAACTGATGGCCTGGGCCCTTTCCCCCTGCAAGGTGAGAGCTGAAGGGTTGGAGAACAAGGAATCAGGTGACCACCTGGCCCGGAAAGGAACAAAGCCCAGAGGGGAGGAGGCTGAGGGGGTTTCTCAGTTTGGGGCTGGCTGTGGGACATGGAGTGAAGTGCAGACGTGGTTGTCTGGCTCACTGCCCCCCAAAATGGACCCAGCTGAGGGGTCCCGTTCTCTGCACCTGCAAGCTCTGTTTTAGACCATGTCTCTGTCGTCTAATAAACCTTCTTAGCTTTACTGGCTGGCTGAGAGTCACATCTGACTGCGAATGTTGGGGGGCAGACCCCTCTGGCTTCCAGAGCCCTGCCTGAGCGAACTCGGCCAAAGCGCACGGAGGGCAGAGGATGCTGAATGCTCCAGGCTGTGGGACCTAGAAGGTGGAAGCTGCAAGAGTTGCCTGTCCCGCGGAAGACAGGCTGCTCACAGAAGGCATGGAGCCCCCTGTGAGTCCTGACTGGCTTCATGGGGAGGAGTTCCAGAGCATCGCCCAGGACTCCGTGGACAACTTCTCGGTGTCAGCGGGATGTACTGCACCCCGTGATGGTGCTTCCTGCAGGTGACTGGGGAGCAGTACAACACGAAGGGGAGATTGCCGAGGACCAGGCCTGCGAAGGCTCAGAGAGATGTTTCTAAGTCGGTTAACCCCGGGAATGTGTGACCAGCGAGCGGGACCCTGCAGTAACAGGTCTCTGGGGATTGCAGCGAGCAGTCCAGGCGGGGCGAGGAGTCCCGGCAGCTCGACCCTGGCAAAGAGGTGGTGACCCTGAGAAGGGCTGGCACACTAGGGGTTCTCCCTGGAAACCGTGGGGAGCTGAGAACAGGGCCTGTGAGTCCACAACTTGGGACGGAGGGTGATGGCCTGTCACACGTCTCATAAGAAGGACATTGTAACCCTGTGCAAAAGAGAGGGCTGAGCGTTGGAAAGTTCACCAAAGCAGAGTTAATCGTGCAGCTGGAGGAGGATGACCGCTCCTAAGAACAGATTCCAGACCCCAACTGAAGGGCTATAGCAGTATCTGGTAGCAGCTGGAGTGGATAGCCAGGCATTGCCAAGACTCCTGTCCCCGACCAGACGAGGGGGTCTTTCACGGATCGGGTTCCAGCATCAAGGGATCGAGACGGACGGGATTGAGCTGAGTCCGAGAGAGCAAGAGGACCCCGGGGAGACAGCGAGAGCCGAGAAAGAGCTGCAGAAGCAGCAGCAGGATGAACTGGCGGTGGGGGGAGCGGAGAGGCCTAGGGGGACCTCCCGGGGTGAGTGGGATAGATCCTGGGGGCCAGTTCCACAGGGGAAACTCGAGACTAAATTGCTGCCCCTGGTTAAGGAGGGTGTGTGTGGGATGCCCACCTCACTGCCTTTGAACAGGCTGGCGATTTGAACCAAGGGGACCCTGCGGGAAAGCCCTGTGTTCAGCTCCCTTGCTGGGTCCTAAGACGCCATAGACTCCAGCCAGCCAGATGGTTGGGGATGTGGATCAGGCTCCCACTCCTGACCCCAACCTGGGGGCCACACAGGCTGGGACTGGGGAGCTAGAGCTTCATATGGGGTCCCAGCTCAGATGCAAGGTGGGGCATAGGGATAATGTCCTGTCGTCCCCCTCTGGGACCTTGTATCAAAGAGTCTCTGGGCCTGGTGTTGGTTCATGATAGACTAGCCAGGCCCTTCTGGTGTAGTTCCCCCCGTCCCCACACAGCATATGGAGCAGGGGGCAGTCAGGGAGCTGCCTTGTAAGGGGCATGCTCCCGTTGGTGGAGAGGCACGAGCAGAGAGCATGCTTGGGGGAGGGGGGCATTGCTATTTGCATGAGGGGCAGGTAGCCCGTCCCTGCAGGGGGCGTTGCAGTGCAGCTGGTCAGGGCAGGACCCCAGGGCACGTCCCAGCTAGCTTGGGGGGTGTCTCTTGGCTTCCCCCTGGGGTTGGGGGCTGGGCCACAGAGAGGGTGGGTAGTGAAGTTTCAGGCCACCAGGGCCCATTGGATTGTGCCGTGTAAGCCAGGCCAGGAACCCTCTGCCAGAGCAGGAGGTGACGGGTTTCTCTCTCCTTTGCCCCAGGGCCCCGACAAAGCCCGTTCTCAGCTGCTGATCGTGGACCGGAGCTTCGACCTGGTGTCCCCACTGCTGCACGAGCTCACCTACCAGGCCATGGCCTACGACCTGCTCAGCATCGAGAAAGACACCTACAAGTAGGGCCTGGCTGCCAGCAGGGGGCGCCCCGCACCCCTCCTCAGGCGGGCTGGGGGGGATGTGGCCCAGGCACCTGCACTGCTCCGCAGCCCCCACGCTCGGGCGAGGGGTGCCGCAGCCTGACCCCATCTCCCCCCTGCAGGTACGAGACGATGGGCATCAGCGACTCGCAGGAGAAAGAGGCGCTGCTGGACGAAGACGACGAACTCTGGGTGCAGCTACGCCACATGCACATCGCTGACGTCTCCAAGTGAGCGCGCTCGGCCCTGCCCCCTGACGCACCCCTCCATGCCCCGCCCATCCACTGGACATACCCCCCCGTGCCCCACCCAGGGCCAGGACCCATCCCCCCCCCGGACACACCACTCCATGCCCCACCCAATGCCAGGACACCCCTGGACACACCCCTCTGTGCCCTGCCTAGTGCCGGGTCTTGCTACTCCCCCCCACCTTCGGCACACCTCTCCCCTCCCCACCCAATGCTGGGACCCCCTACCCCCACTTTGGCACAGCCCTCCCCTCCCCGCCCGCTGCCAGGACTCCCCCCTTGGACACACCTCTCCCACCCAGTGCCAGGACAGCCCACCCCGTTGACACACCCCTCCCCCTCTTTTCCAGTGCCGGGACTTCCCCCATCCTCCCCTTCAGACACACCCCTCCCCTTTCCTTCCCACCCAGTGCTGGAACCCCACTACCCCTTGGATACACTCCTCTCCCACCCAGTGCAGGGACACCCACCCCCCGCAACACACCCCTCTCCTGCGCAGTGCCAGGGCCCCCCTCCCCCTCCCACCCAGTGCTGGAGCTTGTCCCTCAGACATACTCCTCTCTGAGTGCTGAGACCCCCTGGACCCAGCCCCTCTCCCCAAAGGACCCCTGAGCGCTCCCTTCCAGAGCCACTGTCCACATCTCCTCTTGGGGATCCCCCTGGACACTGTCTTCCCCCGATTCCAGGGTCTCCCCATGCACCTTACAGCTCCCTTGAGTGAGTCCCTCACCGACCTCCTGCTGGGCCTGCCGCTGCCCCCAGGCCCCCCCCCCAGCAGGGCGCCAGGAGCCCCCAGAGGTGCACTGAACTCTGCCTTGGGGTAACTTAGGAAGAGGGCCTCCCCCAGCCTGTCTGAGGCTCTTGAGGCAGAGAACCCTGGTGCCTGTGGGGCGGGGGCTCCATCCCCTGTAGCATAGGACAGGGTACCCCCTACCTCCAAGGCAGTGCCTGGCTCCGTCCTGACCCCTCTCCCTGCTGCAGGAAGGTGACGGAGCTGCTGCGCACCTTCTATGAGAGCAAGAGGCTGACCACGGACAAGGTGCGGCAGGGGTTGGGGGGAGCGATTGGGGAGTTCAGGCCGGAGGGACAGGGGGACCCATCCCACTGCCACTGATGGGGAGGGGAGGCTTCCCTGCTGCCCCAGGAGGGGTTGGCGGGGGTGGGGGGGCTGTCCCATTGCTCCCAGGGTTTGCCTGTAAAGGGCTTAGAGGTGTATGTGGAGTCCCCTGCCCCCCAGCCAGAGCTCTGGAGCTCCCCACAGTGGGGGAGGGCAGAGGCCCATGGGGCGGGGTCAGACAGCAGGATCGGGACCGTGCAGGGAGAGCTGCAGGGAGCCAACGCTGGCATCTCCCTGGCCCGCTGCTGCTTTACACCTTGAGGGGCGCTCGGGTTGCGGGGCTCCCGTCTCGTTCCAGCTGGCCTGGAAAGGGCAGGTCTAACCTAAGCCGCAGCCACGCATGGCCTGAGTGACCCGCCCTGCTGCCTCTGCCCTGCAGGGGGCTCCAAGCGCTGGGAGCAGCCGGGATATCACCACCGCCTCCCTCCAGGCCAACATCGAGGACCTGTCCCAGATCCTGAAGAAGATGCCCCAGTATCAGAAGGAGCTGAACAGGGTAACGGGGCTGGGCTTTTAGTGGGCAGGGGGCAGGCCATTCAGTGGGGCTGATGGGAGGGGCAGGGTGCTCTGTGGGGCTGGTGAGGGCCAGTAGGGACTCTCCTGGGGGGCAGGGCACTCTGTGGCACTCCGCTTTACTGCCTGATGAGAGCTGCTGACCTGTCCCGTTGGGCAGAGCCATTTTCCCCCCAGGTGCTGTGTGGCACCATGGGCAGCAGCCTGCCTGTCAGTGCCCAGAGCTGCCACGTTAGCCCCACCAAGGGCAGCCCTTGGGTAAAGCCCGTGCCTTGCTGCTGCAGCTCTCGGGAGAGGGCCTTGGTGGGCTTCCAAACCAGCCTATTGGAGCCACTCCTGGTGCCACTGAGCCATGTGCCAACAGAAAGCTCCTGGCCACTGGCACAGGTACCCCGACACCTGCTGATCTCCAAGCCCCCAACCTCGTGGTGACTAACAGAGAAGCCGTGGGTGCAGGTGCTCTGGACCAGCCAGTGATACGGTAAACTCCCCCTGTGCCCCGGTCTCTCCCCGCAGTACTCCACGCATCTGAACCTGGCCGAGCACTGCATGCAGCACTTCAAAGGAAGAGTGGAGAAGCTGTGCAGCTTGGAGCAGGTGGGTCTGTGGGCAGAGCCTGGCTTGGGGCAGAGTCTGGCTCATGGACTCAGCCCGGAGAGAGGGGTCTCAGAGCCGCAGGCTCGCTGGAGCCAGGGTCAGCCCCTCCATGCAGCACCAGGGGTGCAGAAGGAGGACATGGGGCTCGGGTTACTCCCTGGGGGCCAGTTGCTCACCCCAGAGGGAGCTGACCCCAGGGAGGAGGGGGCCCTGGCACGGGGTAGGCGAGCTGTGGGTCAGGGGGCCGTCACATCTCCCATCCTGCTGCGTGGGCGGGAGGAAGCAGAGTGGCCTGACCTGGGCCTTGTGTGTGCGCCCCCTTCCCCCTGCCCCCAGGACCTGGCTATGGGGACGGACGTGGACGGGAAGAAGATCAAGGACCCCATGAAGATCATCTTGCCTGTCCTGCTGGACCCCAGCGTGCAGGCCTACGACAAGATCCGCATCATCCTGATCTACATCTTCCTGAAGAATGGTAATGCCACAGGCCTGCAGGGGGAGCACTGCGGGGCCTGCTGCTGCAGGGGGGTGCTCCTGGAGGTGGGGCCCAGGCCTGTGGGGCTGGTGGGGAATAGCACTGCTCAGACTGGCAAGCCCTCCTGCTATGCAGGGCGCCCCCCGGCCAGCCGCTTCCCAGGGCCTGTGTCCAGCCCGGCTTTACAGCCCTGTCTTCCCTCTGCCCACCTCTCGGTGCCTGCAAGCCTGCCAGTGCGCCACGCCCATGCTCCGATCTGGGGTCAGATCTGGGGTCAGATCTGGTGGCCTTTGCTCCCTGCTACTGCCTTCCGAGCAGTGTCCGCCCTCCATGCTCCCCCAAGCCCGTTCTCTGCAGGGAGGGAGGGAGGATGGAGACACACACCCAGAGCAGCCCCCCAGCCCGTTCTCTGCAGGGAGGGGGGACTTCCCTCCCTTCCTGCAGGCTGTTCAGATACCATGTTGTGTCTCTGAGCCTCCTGCAACCAGTCCCCTGCCCACCCCTTGTGTCATCCCTGCAGCAGCTCCCTGCTTCTTGCTGCATCCAGCCCCTTCCCCAAACTCACCATGGCCTGGGGAACCTCCCTGACCCTGACACTTGGCACAGTCCCTCTTCCCCCATCGGTTCCTATCCCATGCTGGCTCGGTGGGGCAGGGCCCTGCTCCGGGGCCCTTCCTGTAGCCCTGCTCAGGCACTCCCCTGTGCCCATTGCTCAGGCCAGGGTGCCCTCATGGGGCTCCTCTGGCTGCCTGGCTGCCCAGTTTCCTGGCCAGGGGGTGCTGTGGAGTTGCCAGGCCTCCCCGTCTGCACTAAGCAGCAGTAAATGGTTTGGGGGGGCAGGGGTGGGGCACCTTGCCCTCCCTCCAGCTCAAGGCCTCACAGCCTTTAAGAGCCAGGCCTCGGCTCTGACTCTGCACCTGACTGGCCGCAGAAGGGGGAGCCCAGATCAGGGGGATGGGGGCTCCCATTGCACTGCCAGGGGGAACTAGAGAGACCCCTGACCCCAGCGCCCGAGAGAACCTGTTGAGGGAGGAGCAGCAAGAACCTAAATTCGATCATTAACTGTGTGGGGTCCAGTGGGTTAGAGCGGATGGTGCTGGGAGCCAGGACTCCTGGGTTCTATCCTCAGCTCTGGGAGGGCAGTGGGGTCTAGTGGGTTAGAGGGGGGCTGGGAGCCAGGACTCCTGGGTTTACCCCCAGCTCTGAGAGGGGTGGGAAGAGCAGGATCTCAGGATTTGATCGGGGAACTAGGACTCCTGGGGCCACGGACTCGTGTGCCTGGGCTGTGGGTGCGTCCCGGGGTGCTAGCACTGACCTGTCTCTCCCCGTGAAGGTGTGGACAAGGAGAACCTCACCAAGCTGATCCAGCATGCCAACATCCAGCAGCAGAGAGACATCATCAACAACTTGCAGTTCCTGGGCATCTCTCTCACGCCTGGGGTAAGGGACTGGGGCCAGGGGCCAGCAGCTGTACCCATGCCAGGGGGCAGATCTGTGCTGCACAGGGGAGCCCAGGCCATCCTGGAGGTGCCCCTCTATGGCAGTGACCTACTCCCAGCACAGAGGTGGCCTCTGTCCCTGTACAGTGGGGTGACGCCCTCCCCATAGGAGGGTGACCCCCGAGTTACTCCCCATCTGGGGTGACTTCTTCTGCCCCGGCAGAGGATACTGGAAGTCAGGACCTCAGATCACCAGCGAGCTGGAGCTGGTGACCACTGCTTGGGGTGGCCATGCGGCGAATGGGGGGAAGCAGCTCTGTTCTCCCATCAGTCTCTCTCCCCTCCTCTCCCTCTCTCTCTCTCTCTCTCTCTCTCGCTCAGTGATCCATTCTGTTCTTTTCTCTGCCTCTCCCCTGCCAGCCTGGCTGGCGCGACTCAGGTAGGCCGCGCTCTCCCTGTCTGCCCCCGTTCCCACCCAGCACCTCCTCCCTGCTGCCTCTCACCCCCTCTCCCTTCCTCCCCCAGAGCGGGCAGCTGCGACCGGAGAGGAAGGTGCGGCTGGAATCCAGCTACCAGCTCTCCCGCTGGACCCCCATGCTCAAGGACATCATGGAGGTACCGGGCCATCTGCTTCCTGGCCTTGGGGGTGGGGTTGCAACTGGCAGGCTGGGCCCAAGGGGGAGGAGTTGGTTTGGGGTCAACCATGTGTAGAGCCCTGCATATCTGCACACCATTTCTGCGGATAGTGGATCAGCTGCAGATACAACCGTGCAGGGCTCTACTCCCCAGCAGCACCTGGCCCGTGGCGTCCGGCTCAGGCAGCCTGGGGGACGCAGCGCGCTCGGGGCCGCTGGCCCGCAGCCAGTGGCTGGGCGACAGGTCGGAGTCGGGGCTGTCCAGCACCCACTCGCTCCGCCGCACTGCTTCCTGTCCAGCAGCTCGAGCAGCACCAGTGTCCCCACCAGCTCCTGGGCAGCAGGATTTGGGATTGGAGTGGGTGGGGCCCCGGCGCCCCACCCCTCCACCCCACTGTGATGCAACATGCTCTGCTGCTGCTGTGTACTGTTGCTCGTGACCCCCCAGGAGGGCACGTGATGAGACACCCCTTCCCCCAAGCCCCCACCCCCTCCACACTGCCCCCTTCTCCTCGAGACCCCGCCCCCTCCACGCTGCCCCTTCCCTGCGAGACCCCTTCCCCACCCTCGCTAGCTGCTGCCGGTGAGGATGCGGATACAGGTAAAAGGCGGCTTGTGGATCGCGGGCTGATGCACATCCACACTTTTGTATCTGTGCAGGGCTGTAGCCATGTGAGGGGCTCATCAGAGAGTCCTCTCCTGCTGCCGTCCTTAGGGGTCTTAAATCATAGACACGAGTGCAGGGGAGTTGTCTTACTCGGTGCTGAGATGCTGCCACCTCTGGGGTGGGCCATGGGCGGTTTATACAGCGGTCCCTCACCGGGGCTGAATTCTTCCTAAGGAGTGGCAGGCAGCTCTTAACAGCCGCCCAGCAGCGCTGCCCGAGAGTCTAGGGCAGGAGGTGATCAGTGTGTGGGGCTGGAAGTGCAGGGGATCCAGGCAGCACACTGTCATGACTGGCACTGGAATCTGAATGGCTGGCAGGGTCCTTGGCCTAACCTCCAGTGAGGAGCAGCTGTTTGACGCTCATCTAAAGGATGAACTCCTGCAGCACAGTCCTGGTCACGCCCCCTGCAGACCCCCGCCCCGCTTGCTCTCTGCAGTACAGCGCCCCCTAGCGCCGCACTGGGGCAGCACTGACTGCCAGGGGAGAGTGCCCCCTGCTGAGCCCTCCGCCTGCTCCCTGCAGTACAGCGCCCCCTAGCGCCGCACTGGGGTCATAGAGCACCCTCTGCTGACTCACTCGCACCCCCCAGCACCCAGTAGCTTTTCCCTAGAGGTCTCCTATCCAAGCACTGCCTGGGCCCAAACCTGCTTAGCTTGTGAGAGGTGACATGGTCACTCCATCCCCTAACCCTTGCAGGGGGCTGAGCCCCTCATCGCCCTGTCCTGTGGGGCACTCCTCAAGAGGGTGGGGGGGCACACTTAGTTGCCTTCAACCTACTGGCTTGGGGCTCCTCCAGGCCAAGAATTAACCCCCTGACCGGAGCTCCTGTCCCTGGCAGATCACAGGTGGGAGGCTCCCAGCCCCTTGTTCCAGTGTTGTGATGGTTCCTCCTGTGGGATTTTGGGGCAGGCAGTAGCGGTAGCCTCAATCCCACGCCTAATCCAATCGGGGTGCCCCCTCTCTGCGCCAGCCACAACTTGGCAGGCCTTAAGCTTCCCTGTACAAGTCAATGCAGCAGACTAATGTAAAAGCCCCTATTATGTGGCATTAGGATGTATCATATCCTGGGCCCTCTGCGTGCCTGGGACACACCTCATGGAGCAAGAGGCAGGGCCTGGATCTGCCCGCAGCAGGAAAGGGACACTGAGGGCAGCCCCCTGCCTCTCCCCCCCCACCCCCCAAATGAGGGGCCCTGGATCTGGCTGCAGGAGGTCTCCGCCCTCCTCATAACGGTGGATGGGTGGGGAGTTCACAGCAGGGCACTGAGCAGCTGAGGGGGATGTGGGGAGATGGGGGGGCATCACTGGAGGAGTCAGCGTGTTCTTTGCTGGCTCCCCATGCCCCCCCCTGGAAAGAGGGCCCCAGGCTGCTCCCCCCAGGGACTGTCAATCATTCAGTGAGGAGCCGTCCCAGCCCCTCCACCCCAATGGGGCCTGGCTTGGCCACCAGATCCGAGGTTCCTGCTGCTTGGCCCCTGCTGATCTGTCCTCCCCCCACCCCCCCACCCCCTGCCAGGACATCATTGAGGACAAACTGGACAAGAATCTGTGGCCCTTTTTGTCGGACCCGGTCCCTACCACCAGCTCCCAGGCTGCTGTCAGGTAAGGCTGAGCCTGGCTGGGCTGTGGGGGGCAGAGCCCTGACACACACACCCCAGAGTGTAGGAGCCTCTGTGCCTGGGAGTGTGTGGTCAGGACCCTGCCCTCTACGGGGGAGGGGATGTCCAAGAGCCTGGAACCCTCTTACCATGTCCCCCGCACCCCAGCAGTCCCTCAACACCCCAGGGCCCAGGATGGAGGAAAGGGACTGGCCGAGCTTTAGACAGACCCCCAGCCCAGCGCAGGTGCCACCCTCCCCTACTCCCTCTTGCCTGCTTTGGGACTCCTGCCCCACTCCCTTGGGCAGGGCCTGCCCCGCAGCCTCCTCCAGGCCCTGCCCTTCCATCTGGCATTCCCTCAGCGAGCCCCTGGTATCCACACTGGCCCCTCTCTCCCCCACACCGCCCGCTTTAGGCATTGGCAGAAGAACAAGCCAGCGGCCGAGTACCGGACGGGCCCGCGCCTCATCATTTACGTGCTGGGTGGGGTGTCCATGTCTGAGATGCGCTGTGCCTACGAAGTGACCCCGGCCATCAAGGGCAAGTGGGAGGTGGTGATCGGTGAGTGGGGCGAGTCCTGGGGGAAAGGGCGGCTGGAATGCCCAGGTCAGGGAGAGTTGGGACCCCCTGGGAGGGGGAGACCCTAGAACTGCCTGCCCAGCACCCACAGGGCTCCCATGCTACCCTCTGTCCTCCCACACCCAGGGGCCTGGGAACAGATGTGCTTGCCCCACATGGCCTGTATCTAGCCGCCTGATCTCCTGGCCTCTGTCTCCCCAGGCCTCTCATTGCCCAGGGACCATGTGTGGGGCCCCAGTCAGACACCCCCAGTAACTCCCATAGGGATATGGCTCACCCCCTGCACACACCCCTCGAAGACCCAAGGGTGAGGAACACTGTCAGCGCATGGATTCTTGCCTGGCTGTGCAGGGTACAGCGGCACGAGGGGTGCGGTGCCAGGCCAAGGGGGATAGGAGACAGTCCCTCCCCCCCTGCACTAGAGCAGGGTCCAGCTGCAAGGATGGGGGTGATGGTGATGCCAGCCACATACCTGCCTCACTGTGCCCACCACTGCCAACCACCTCTCTCTCCCCCAGGTTCCAGTCACATCCTGACCCCCAAGCGCTTCCTGGATGACATCCAAACCCTCAACCAGCTGGACCCCGAGGAGGCCTAGAAGCAGCCCCCTCCCCCCAGAGACTCTGCCCCCCACAGTTTGCTGCCCCCAGCTCCACCTGCTCTTCTCAACAAGGCATCTTCCCCCCTACTCTTGGCTGCGGTGTCAGTTCTTGGGCG